ATTCAGATGAGAAAGTAGATAGTGAAAGATTAATTTTGGTTATATTCTTAAATAGTTGGCTTTAAAAAATTCTTGGAGCTTGTATTTCAGCTGTACAAGGCTCCCTGAAATCAAGTCAGTCAGTCATACGGGAGCAGAATGGCAGTTCAAAGGCTGCCTTGGAACCTTGGAACAAACAGATCTAGTAGGCATTACGTCACTCTTTACCACTTTCTGTGTGTCTGTGCTGGTGCCAGGACCACAGGGGTTTTGCTGTTTTAAAATATTTTTTCAGAGCTGGGAATGGAACCTAGGGCTCTGTGCATAGTTGGCAAGCACTCTATCACTGAGCTAAATCTTTAGCAGTTGTTGGGCAGTTATCAAAAAAAAGTTATATACCTAAAAACAAAAGATGAAATAAAAGGAAAACAGCATTAAAAATATAAATTAAGGGGCTGGAGAGATGGCTTAGAGGATAAGAGCACTGGGTGTTCTTTCCAAGGACCCAGGTTCAGTTCCCAGCACAACAAGGCAGCTACTAATCATCCTAACTCCAGTTCCAGGAGATTTGATACCCTCTTCTGGCCTTTTTGGCATTGGACACATGTGATGCACTTACACAGAGTCATGTGAAACTCTACACTTACAATGAAAATTTATATATATTTTTTTTAATTTTTACAATGTATTAAGAACAGATATAGCTTCCAAATCCCCTTTCCACTCATTGAAAGTCAGTCTCCCTCTCTCTCTCTCGTAAAGTTTGTTACATATTATGTCTGGGAAAAAAATTAGACTCTCAAAGTAATCCTAAGGAAATAGAAAATGCAGCCCAGAAACCAGGGCAAGGTTGTGGATAAAGAATCAGATGATAAATGTTATCATTTCCCATACATAAAACTTTTTATCATCTCTAACAGTAAAATTCTGTGTGTAAAAGTTAAAAGATTAAATGCTTAAGTGAATGTATTTTATACCGTAATTTTTAAATTTCTGAGAAATGTGAAATAGATTCAGAAATTACAACTAATTTTCATTGAATTATCATTTGTGCCCATTTAGTTCCAGTCAGGAGACAAAAATCACACTGTGATCTGAGCAAGGAAAGTATGATCTAAAGATTTGTTCGTTGAATTCCCCTGCAGCCTGAGCAGCTCACTCTCTCCCAAACTGGGTCTCCTTTCTAGCCTTGGGCCTGGCCCACTCCTGCTCTTCTGCCTCAGATCTCTTGACTAACTTCCCAACCCAGGCTAGCTTACTCCTCTAGCATAGTTTGTTAGAGCTTCCACAGGCTGTCTCCACCCCCCATCTTGTCCCTGGCTTCCTGATCTGCCAGATACAGATAGGCCTACTAGCCCAGTAAGTCAGATCCCGCCCATGGTCTCTTGATGCCCTGCAGCTTGAGCAGCTAGCTCCACACTCTCCTGCACTGGTTCCCCCTCCTGGTCTCGGGCCTAGACCCACTCCAGCTCTTTCTGCCCCAGATTGTGGGACTAACCTCTCAGATCAGACCCGTCCATTGTGTCCTGATCCCCTGCACCCAGACTAGCTCAATTCTCCAGCTTTGTTTGTTAGACCCTCCACAGGCTGTCCCCAACCCGTCTTGCCCTTTCCCAGCTCCGGATCTGCCTACCCCAGACCTGCCTGCTACCCAGACCTGCCTGCTACCCAGACCTGCCTGCTACCCAGACCAACTACCTTGGGAGAAGTTGAAGCACACATCAACTAACTTTTTATACCTGAGCAAAAAGCAATCAAGCTACATCAAAAATATAAATAGAACCAAACTTCAACTAAACAAAGGCAGAATAGAATTTCCTATCAGACACACAACCAACAAAAGATATCCATATGCCCAAATGGTAACAAGAAAAAAAAAAAAAAATATATGAAAACCAAAAAGAATATGTCCCCAACAACATTCACCAGTCCTACAAAAGTGGACTACAATAAGAATCACCTGAGGAACCCCATGATGCCTATTTAAAAGAATAAAACATGATCAAGGAATTTAACACTCAAAGAGGATAGGCATAAATTTGTGAGGGGACCTCAAGAAAATGCAAATATGTGGTTGAATGAAATAACAAGCAATTCAGGACTTGAAAAGTGAATTCATGAAAGAGAAATGTTGAAGTAAACCCAAGGGAAAATGAAAACGGAATTGAAAAACTCAGTAAGTCAATTTTAAATGACAGGAGAAAGCCTCACAAGCAAACTGAATGAAATGGAAAAGAGAATATCAAATCTTGATAGCAAAGTTGATGAACTGGACTCTGTAAGCAAAGACTATTAAAAAAAAATTTAAAGCACAGGAATGAAACACTCAGGAAATGTCAGACACCAAACCAACCTATGCATCATAGGCATACAGGAAGGAAAAGAATCTTAGATCAAAGGCATTGACCAGATCAACAGGATTATAGAAGAAAACTTCCCTAAATTAAGGAAAAGACATACCTATACAGGATATAAGAAGCACAGAACACCAATGAGACGGGACCAGAACAGAAATTGCGCACAGTATACAGTAGAAACACTAAATATACAGAACAAAGAGAGAGTACTGAAAGCTGCTAGAGAAAAATCGCATATAAAGGAAAACCTTTATGTGAATTACAACTGATTCTTCAATGTAAGCTGAAAGCCAGAAAAGCCTGGATCAAAGGATTCCCAGTTCTGAATGTCCATGGATACCAATCCACAATACTTTACCCAGCAAAACTATCATAGTCAAAGGGGAATGGAAATTTTTCCATGATATGAGTAGGCTGAAAAAATTCACGTCCACCAAACCAGCCCTACAAAGAATACTCGAAGCTTTACAAAGGACTGAAGATTGGAATGACTATGCTCAAGAGGTTACAGAAAGGGAAAAAAAGGGAGATATAATTATAGAAACACAAAATAGGACCAAGAATACAAACATAATAACATGAACCAATACACACCTTTCAATAGTAACTATAAATATCAATGGCCTCAACTCCCCAGTCAAAAGACACAGGCTAGTAGAATGGATCAAGAAAGAAAACCCATCTTTTCTGTTGTCTTCAAGAACTCCTCTCACCTTCAAGGATAGACATTACCTTAGGGTGAAAGGATGGAAGAAAAATGTTCTAAGAAAATGGCATTAGAAGCAAGCAGGCACTGCAAGTCTAATATCTGGCAAAATAGACTTCAAGGTAAAACTAATCAGAAGAGATAAAGAGGGTCAGTTCATTCTAATCAAAAGAAAAACATCTAAATTAAAAGTCATCATCTTACATCAAATGGCCCTAACTATCATCTACAGAATATTCCACCCAAGCACCGAAGAACATACTTTCTACTCAGCAGCCCATGCAGGTTTCTATAAAACTGACCACATACGGGGACACAAACCCACAAATACAAAACAATTGAAATTATTCCATGCACTCTATCAGACCACAATGCAATAAAGCTTATAATCAACAGCAAAAGAAGCTCAAGTAACAACACGAACTCATGGAGATGAAACAACACGTGCCTGAATGATGAAGGGTCAAAGAAGAATTTTTTTTTTTTTAAAAGTGTTGCTGGAATCAAATGCAAGTAATTCCACAAAATATCTGGGAAACTTTAAAAGCAGTCCTAAGCGGGAAGTTTATATATCTAACTGCCTACATTAAAAAAATCAGAGCACATATAAATGACTTAATAGTATAACTCAAGACTCTGGAAAGGCAAGAACAAACCAAACCCAAACCTAGTAGTCAAAAAGAAATAACAAAAATCAGAACAATCAAATGCAAGTAATTCCACAAAATATCTGGGAAACTTTAAAAGCAGTCCTAAGCGGGAAGTTTATAACTCTAACTGCCTACATTAAAAAAATCAGAGCACATATAAATGACTTAATAGTATAACTCAAGACTCTGGAAAGGCAAGAACAAACCAAACCCAAACCTAGTAGTCAAAAAGAAATAACAAAAATCAGAACAGAAATTAATGAAGTAGAAACAAAAAAATACAAAGAATCAATGAATCTAAGAACTGGTTCTTCGAAAAATTAGACAAGATAGACTCTTGGCCCGGTTGACCAAAAGAAAGAGCAAACCAAAATTAATAGAATCAGAGCTGAAAGGAGAAATATCTCAATAGAAACCAAAAAAATTCAGAACATTATAAGGGAATACTTAAAAAAAAAAACTATACTCATTAAATTTGAAAATCTAAAAGAAATGAATGACTTTCTAAATTTATGGAAACCAAAATTAAACCAAGAAGAAATCAACAGCTTAAAAAACCCATAACAAACAAGGAAATTGAAACAGCAATACAAAACCTCCCAACTAAAAAAAAAAAAAAACAGCCTAGCTGGATTCACAGCAGAATCCTACCAGACATTCAAAGATCTACAGCCAATACTCCCAAACTCCTCCTAAGAAGCCAGCATCACTCTAATACCCAAACCAGGTGAAGACACAATAAAAAAGAAAACTATAGGCCCATAGACTTAATGAACATACACACAACGATTCTGAACAAAATACAAACCTCATATAGACACACATCAAAAAGATCAGCCACCACATCAAGTAGGCTTTATTCCAGAGATGCTGGGATGGTTCAATATACGTAAGTCAATAAATGTAATAAATCGTAAATGGACTTAGAGACAAAAATCCCATGGTCATCTCTATAGGTGCAGGAAAGGCCTTTGACAAAACCATACATGCATTCACATTCAAAGTTCTAGAGGGAATTGGACTGGAGGGAACACAGCTCAACATAATTAAAGCTACATACAACAAACCCACAGCTTCTGAAAGAGAAACTGGAACCATTCCCATTAAAATCAGGAATTAGACAAGACTGC